GAGAGAGAGAGAGAGAGAGAGAGAGAGAGAGAGAGAGAGAGAGAGAAGAATGGAGTACACACGTCGCCGATTATTTCGCGTCCAAGTGCCCGTTCAGTGTCTATGACGATAAAAGCCAGCAACGAGGGGAAAGGAAAGCAATTCAGCTCATCTAGCTCACAGAAGGGATACGAGGAAGATCGTCTGCTTGCGACGATGGACATGTAGACAGGAAGAGCCCGAGCAGAGACGAGAGATGACGAGAGGAAAGTGGTGAAGATAGTCGTGCACCTCGGCTGAGACACGGTCGTCGTCGACTAGCTTCTCTAGCTCCGCTCCGGCGCGCGCGCGTCGAGGAGGACCGACACAGCTTCGCGTCATGTGGACCCGTGTACGGGGAGAGGAAAGGTCGCAACGTGTGCTAGAAATCCGGATGCGAAGATTCGGTACTTCACCTACGCCAGGCGTGATATCTTCCTGCCCCAACCCCCTCCCCCTAATGCCCTTCTCCATAGTATGAAGCCGACGACCGGCAACCGTTTCCCAACTAGACGAAGGAAGACGATGACGTTCTATCCGCCGGCCGACACGTTGGTTTGCAGCCATACATTAGCGTCGGATCACATGAATCGACGGTCCGCACGCCGTCATTTCGGCAGTTGGGCGAGAGCATCCTAATAAGAAGCGAGAAAGCAGAAAGACACAACGACAGGGTAGGGAAAGGGGATGGGACACTCAACTCACCAGGGAGGTGTCGAGGGATGCGACAGGGCAGCGGAGGGAAGCACGATCGTGTAAACATAACACAAACAACGATCGACAGTTTGGCGATCGACGGACAGGGCTGCCTGCCGCGGACAGATCGGACGGGGGTGGGCTTTCGGACCTGGATGGCTTCCAGGAGACAACAGTAGAGAGTCCGGTCGCAGGACCGGCGGAGGGTGTGCCTCACCGGTGGTCCCGCGAAGCCTTGCGAGAGTCCACAAGACCCGGGCCCGGTTCTCCAGCGCGAACTACCACCCCCGCTATGCTCGGTCCCCGCCTTTCCCTACTACCCTTCCCTGCCCTCCGCCCCCCTCTCGCGCACCGCCGTCGCCGCCTCGCCTCCTCAAGAGCGACGGTCCGCCGCAGCCGCCAGCAGCGACACACATTCCGCCAAAAATGAGGCCCCCTGTCAGGACGTCCCGCGCTTGCCCCGCTGACAGGCAGGCTCGGCCTTCCCCGACCAGCAGGCGCACACCCGACCAGGCGGAACGCACCGGGTCCGCAGCGGCGGGGCCGGGCGGGGACGGGCGACGTATGATGAAAGGGAAAGAGTGACGGGACAGGACTGGCGCGGACCGCCGCAAACCGGGGGCGCGCGGCCCGAGAGAAACGGCGGCGCAGTGCTTGCGACAAACGTGGAGGTAATTCCACCGACGAAGCACGAGTCTCGCGTTGCGATCTTGCGCAAAAGCAGGGCACGAACATGGAAAGCAGACACTCGCTTCCGCGAGGAAATGCGCAGATGATGGGGAGAAGCGGGTGGGCGCGCTCTGCGCTGGTGGCAACATGGCGGGGAGATAGAAAAAGGGAAGAAACACAACAGAGGACAAGAGCGCGCGGGAGCGAAGGGGCGGAAAAAAAAACTGAAAGGCCGCCGAAAAGGTCAAGATTTCGTACAGGAATCGTGCCGCCGCTTAGGGGTCCTCAACGCGCCTCCACTGCTCTTCCCCAATAGCCGACAGACACTCACGTCCACGTCAGTGGAGAGTGCGGGCGAATCTTGTTTCAAATGACAACCAAAGACCGCCCCGCCTCCGGGCAGCGGGCGTCATTTCACCCCGCGCTTGTCGTTCAGGCCCTCCTTCGCTCGCCAAATGCAAGAATGGCGAATGTACATTGCCCAAGAACCTGACCGCATGCGTTCCCCCTTCTTCCAATTGCCGAGTACCGGAACGGGGTGCTCAGCTGCGGCTGTTCTGTTCATGCGTCCGTTTTGTCGTTTTCATTTTCGGATACCCGCGGACCGCTGGGCCGCGCCCGCACCGCCACCTGCTTGCGCGATTGGTACCGTCAGGTAGTGGCTCTTGAATGGCATCGTAGGATTCATTTCATTGCACCACAACGCAGATTGGAGCATGCAGCTCAAAGGAGAGAGAGAGAGCTAGAGAGAGATGGCCGAGAGGGGGCTAGGTCCCACCAGCAACGTGGATCGAACTAGGAACCTGAATCTGGATAGGTTATTGGCGGAGATGCAGAAAAGCTGATCAATCACCGTTTTCTGTATCTGTCCTCAAACGAGTCTACATTCGGGCGTTAAATCTACTCCTCTGTGCTAGTGGGACCTCGCCCAGGGTGAAGGCAAGCAAGAAAGGTGGGTTCTTCTGTTTGTTTAACCACCACATCAATTCCGCATGATACACTGGTCCAATCCAAATAAAATAGCAAAACTCCAAACCACAGATGATGCCAGATCTCACAGGACCAAGTCAAGGAAGTGGGCGGACGCCGGCTTCGCCAAAAGGAGGAGAGGAAAAGGGGGCTTGTTAGACACTCCTCGCGCGTCCTCGGGGCCCGAGGAGTTCTCCTTCGGGTCGTCTGAGAGAATTCCCGCCGTCGTTCCACTGAGGAGGACTCCTAGGGAGGGCCCGCGGTCAGTCGCATAATAATGTTATTGCCGCCCGCAGGGTGGGGTGGGGCGGTGGTCCATGGGTGGTTGTCCGTGTGGACGGGCGTGGTCCAGGTTCGAGTGGCAGGAAAACTCGAATCTTCGTGGCGACCCATTAAAATTAAAAACAATATCAGCACACCATCCCAGTTCGAAATTCAAAATTTGAATGATGCTGTTGGGGTGAGGGTGGTTCGTCGTGTGGCTGCGGCGGCTGGTGGAGGACGTCAGAAAGGAAGATCCTTCCACTGCGTGTCAGCAGGGTCGGCGTTATAACTGCATGCGGCCAGGCAAGGAAGACGTCCCGCGTGAAGACGCCATCGCGGCAGTCGTTGGGCCCCGTGTGTGCGGAGAGTGGCGGACTGCGTCGTGCAGGTTGCTCCAGTGTCCTTCGTTGTGCAATCACCATCCATCTCCAATGGTCCAGTTTGCTGGTCCGGTGGAAGTTCGGCGGAGTCTGTTGCCATCGTTGACGGTGATGTCTTCGGTTCGTTTGGGAGTGATGGAGGGCAGCGGTGTCGGAGCAGATAGAGCAGAAAACCTTACAAGGGTATCTGCTCGGTTTTTTCAACGTCGGACACTGTCTGACATTTTCGTTCAATTGAAGGAGTTGATGAGACTGACGTTTGTCAAAAGTTCATTCAGACTAGCCTATGACCGAGAGACTAAAACTTTTTTGAACTTTAGTTGAGACGCTTGCGTCGTCCGAAATTGATGGCAGTAGTCGGCGGCTTTTAACAGGGCCGCCGAGGCATGTGGATGTGGAAATGCTAAATTAGACCTATCCACCTAAAATAATGACGCGCGGCTGCTAGGCGGCACGATTCAGAGCCTAACAGGGCTAAAAAGAATGGACATGTCGGGTATAGAACCACGACGTAGGAGAAATGGGTCACCTATTTTATTGGGCGGTGAGATTTGACTCCGCGCCGAGGCCCGAGGCCGGACTCGCGGCTAAAAGGTTGGCTTATCAGGCCTACCGGACTAAGCCCCTATCGGGTAGGCTGCGGGGCATCAGCCTTGAAGTAGGTGAGGCAGGATTAAGCCTGCCTAGGCCAAAAAAAGACAGCCTACTAGGCTGCAGTCCTCCAAATAGAAGGACTGTGGGTATAGCTCCTTTAAGGCTGTATCGCGCGGCCGAGATCGGTCGCAGGCTGTTGCAGTCCTCCAAATAGAAGAATTGCAGGTATAACTCTTATAACAGGAACTAGCCCAGTAGGTATTGCGTTGAACTATCACCCGGGAGAGACCGGGATCGAGCCCAAACTGTGTTAGCACTGGGCTAGCTCCTTTTGAGGGAGCTGCCCTTTCTCTTTGAAGTGACGCAGTCGATTTCGACCGCACGATCCCGAAGATCGCACGACCGAAATCGACCGCAGGCGGAGCTGTTTCGGCCTACGCAAGGATAACACACATAAATCGAGAAATTGTCCAAAAATTTGTTCTCGATCCCCGAAGGAGATCGAACTCTGGTCTGTGTCTTTGTAGGGTGTGGCTGAAAAGCCACGAGGTTGACATGTCGTTGGCTTTAAGCCAACGAGAAAAAGAAAAAGAAAAAAAAAAATAGCAAACTGAGCTACAGGCAGATTGACAGCGGCAGTGATAATCGTGGGAAGTTGACGACGACGGAGAGGGCGACAGTGGCAGTGGTTGTTACCATGGTCCTCTTCCGTTGTCAGGTGGAAAGGACTGTGAGGAGAATGGAAACACAAATTCGCGCGCTAAGGAGGAAGGTGATGCAATCTACGGCTGTGGAAGGCTCGAACTCCACCTCCATCTGCGATGTCGTCGTTCAAGTGAGTTGCACCTTGGGTTACGGAGCTCTTCCCAAAGCAATGCCCAAGTTGTGGATGAAAAGAAGGACGGTTGGGACGCGAGAGGATTTGCGGCCATGCATCTATGCGATGATGCGACGGAGGATTACTTTCATGACAGGCTGTGCATGGCGTCACGTGTCTTCCGAGAGATTGTGGAAGCTCTGTCGCCCTTCCTGTAATGATGTGTGACGTTCTACAGGGAATCGTTGCAGCCTGATCAGATCGTTGTGTACGCATTGTATAGGTGGACATTGGGGGAGACATACGATAGCAACACGTGTAACTTCGGTATCGGCAGAGCATCAGGTTTGATGGCGGTGCGGGACGTGACTGCGATGTTGCTGACGGTCTACCGTGAGAAGATATCATGGTCGATGGGGGTGCGCAAGTCGGTTGTCCTTTGTGCTTTCGTTGGCAAGGGGTTCCCCAGTTGCCATGGATGCATCGGTTGCACGCATATCTACATCGACAAGTCAGGAAACGCCCCTGGCGAGGACTACTATGATCGGAAACGGCGTTTCTCGATCATTACGCAGGGTATCGCCGATCTCAACTTGCATGTGTTGGAGGTCTTTGTCGACTATCCTGGAAGTTGTCACGGCGTGAGGATCATCCATCAATCGAGTATATGGGCGAGTGCAGAGGCTGGGGAACGTTTCACGGGACTGCCTGTGATGCTGTCATTCGACGTCCACACGAACAACTACCTGCTGAGTGACAATGATTACCCACCCTCCGAATGGATAGTTGTTCCCTATGGCTGCACTACTCATAACCCATCGGAGATGCGGTTCGACAACAACCAGAAGACCACAAGGGGGGCAGTTGAGAGGGTCTTCGACAGACTGAAGGAGATGTGGAGGTTGTTCCTGCGTTCGCACAAGACGAACATGGAGACATTGCTGCAACAGTTTTTTGTTGTCTTCATTCTCCACAACCTATTCATCGATGCTGGCATCCCGTTTGATAACAATATGTTGTGGGAGGTGGATGCGAACGGAGTGTGCCATCATGTGCATCTCGGAATCCAACGTTCTTTGAGGCCGGTGTGCATGGAGACTTCGACAGGAGATGCACTGATTCTGAAGGACGCACTGGCGGAGAGAATGAGTGGTCTCTCACGACGATCGACAGGGGAGTGATCGTGACGGCGGACCAGAGGTGAAGTTTGTTCACCCAATCTGTTTTGATAGTGTCGTATGTTAATCTTGTCGGATCGAGGTGCTAGATGTTCATCATTTGACGTCCTCGCCAGTGTTCTTTATCGCCTCATCATGTGGGTAGTGTGTCCCTTCTTCGTGGCAGACATGGAGTCTTGTGTGAGCGTCGTAGGACGCCAGGAGCCACACAGTCATAAGCTGCCAATTTTTTGTTCGCAATCGTCACAGCCACGCGTCATCCGTTGGTTAGATTTTTTTGGTCGTAATAGTTTTATTCTCCATATTTCATTCCGCGCATGACATTTGACCCCTTTGTGGGCAATTCTGTTTTTTTAAGACATCCAATTCACGAACTTCTCTTGCACACGACAATCCATTGGTGCTTTGAACGACTTATCGTGGTGTGTTTTTTTCTTCCCCAACACGTCACCCGAATTGTTATTTGGTGGTGTTCAATGTTCAAAATTTTCCTTCTCATTATGTGTTGTGGTCGAACAAGTTATGACATTGTGTTGGGGGTCGATGTGATTCCCAAGCATGCATGTGCGCTTTCTTGTTTACGTTTGTGTGTGTGTCGTCTCGACAAGTTCTCATGCAATTTAGCGTTCCGACCGCTAGTGATTTCACGTCTATTGTCGTGTGCGTGTGGATGGTGTGATGGACATCTGCAAAACAAAAAGGCATTCACTGGCCAATGCATGTGACCTCTGTGTTGTTGACAAATGAAGAGCGACATTCATTTCTCCGACTCAGTACAAATATAATACCTTTGTGTTGTTGACAAATGAAGAGCCACGTCCATTTCTCCGACTCCATACGAACATAGCTGATCCATCATGATAAATGGACCGTTCAACTTGAATCTAACAAATGCATGGCACATGAACACGATGACTTATTGGAACAATCACATGCACAACAAACACCGACGTAAACCACACATTACTAAGGTGGTCTTGCATGTATCACGATCGCACAAAGACCCCACGTGTGCAATTGCGAACATACTAAATTCCCGTGGTGGAAACCTCGAACACTTTATCATTGCATTAACAATCAAAACATGGGTCTCTCTCTCTCTCTCCCCCCCCAGACATCCGTCACATATTACAAACATACCACAATCCGATCCCAACACAAAATGAGCAACTGCGCCAGGGCAAGTGCACGGCAGCACATCCCCCCACGTCGACACGGGATGTTGACAACCCCACCGCGTGCCACGAGTTGCACAAGCACAGAGCCAACAACCGACCGACACCCATCAACCACCAACTGTGTCCTTCAACATTGCACGGTCGTCCCCGACATACTCGACAACGCGACGTTCGTTATCATCTGGCGATGCCAACCGTACTTTTCTACCCCCTCCATCATCGTCCCCGCCAGCAGTTTTAATATCATTGTCCTTTGGGGGCCCAGTCCCTAGCCATTCCAGCCGTTTCGCAGCCATCGACGATGGAAGAGTGGCGTCATGGCCGAAAGTGATCCCGCAGTTCGCCTAGTCTAGGATATACAAAGGCGGTCCGCCAACGTCATGGCAGGTTTCCCCATTCTCTCCGTGATGACAGTGACTGCCTGAATGATACGGTGATGAGCATCGAACGACCGATGCATGGACGCCTCCAGTCTCGGCTTCGCAATGAGCTGGACGAACAACTTAAAGGACGCATCAAAATGGAAATGCATATCATCCCCGCTCAACCTCATGAGCCACATTGACGCCGCGAGTAGAACCTTCATAGCCTCGACGATGTTCCTTAGCTTGTCATACAAAATGCGCGGACCGTCGATCCCCTCCTCCAGACTAACGACTCTAGTGAAGGCGCCCATCTGGCACTAGCCACTACAAGGTCGCCTCTTGGTAGCATGTCAGCTCGTCGTCCTTGTGCCTGTCCTCAATGTGCACGCTGACAAACCAAACGGGCAGCTTCATGTCCATCTCCAGTGTGATGTGGTAGACAGCGGGACTGACACATGTGCACCAGTCCTCTCCAAGCCACATGACGAGGGCAATGTCCGTCGTCATATTGTTGAGCACGTACCCGTACTCGGAGTGGTGGCCCCGTGAGCGGCTTGTGGACTTGAAGATCCACCCATGGATGACGCTGTCGGTGCGAATACCCTTACAAGGGTATCCGCCCTGTTTTTTGCAAGTGACAGAAAATAGTTTGGTTTAGAGTTTAAGTGTTCCGCGCGAGGCGCGGCCGCGTCTGTGGTTTACGACGACAGGGGTGGTTGACTAGAATAAAGAGTGCGTGGGCGCGCAGGTTTAAGGCGCGCGTGATTCCTTTTCTGTTGTTGATCATAAAGCCCGCCGGACATCGGTCGTTTTGTTTAATAATATTATTTATATTTATTTACATTTAATTAAGCAGGAATTAGGGATATTTTCGGTTGATTGGTACGTTTGACCGAGGCGAGCGCGCGTGCGAGGACGGCGGCGTCAACGGCGACAGTGTGACTGCGGTAGGTCTTGGCACGTGGGGTGGCGCGAGTGGCGGCTGTGGTATAGCTTAGTAAGTCGGCGCAGACGCTGGGCGGCCGCGCGCACGACTGTAGGCAGGGGTGCGGCTCAGGCCCACTTCCCTGGCCCTGAGCGCAGTGCCGCACCGCCTCATATGGCACTCCGCGGATGTGGGTCTCAGACTTGGGCCGAGCGCTATTAGTTACGACGTCGGACTTTCATCAGGGAGACTCAGGGATCGAGGACGAGCGACGACAATGCGGGAATATCAGAGTGGCACGAAGGGACCGTGGGGTTGAGGGCCTGTCGGGGCTATCCCCCTTGGTTTTGTCGTCGGTGGCGTTAGGGCGGGGCTAACGTTTCGTTTTTCCCGTTCGCCACATTTTGACGATTAAAGGTTCTAAATAATTTTTGTTGCTCATCATATTATTATTTGGCTCCGACGTTCTCTGACGCAGACGCAACGCCGGATTTGGAGGCCGTCGCGGCGGTCGAGTACATTGAGAGCGCGCCCTCGTAGGTTGACTTGTTGGGGTCTTTGCGAGGTTTTTCTACCCTGGCTGTTTGAAGTGTGGACCGAGGGGTTCAATGTGCATGCGAGCCGGTGGGTGATTAGCCCATGAGGCGGAAGAAGCCTGGGTGGCGGGAACCCTTTGCGGGTGCACCGTCCGCCCACCACGATCTGCTGTGGGAGGTTTGAGTGTGAGTACGCCGTCGGGTCCCATAAGGTGCTAGTCCTTGCCAGGGCGGTGGCTGGGACATCACGAGGAAGGCCTATTTACATAGGGCCTTCTCTCCACATTGGCAACTACTATCACCAAAGTACTGCACCGGGACCCACTCCGCCAGGGCATGAGCCGCAGATATGGTTGCGGGCCCACCGCCCTCCAACTCGCCGCAGCGCTGGGGTTGGCTGACTCTGCAGGGCGGCCTGTGATACACTCCCACGGAGTAGCGGTCGAATAGGCCGGCGCTGGGCACCCTCAGAACGGAGGTGGAAGGATAGTGCAGCGGGCGGGGCAACGGAAGAATAACGAGCGCCGAGGTAGCGGAACGGGGCAGTGGGAGTTAGTGAGTGAACTTGGACAGGGGTCCTGCAGGTTCATGTGGGGACAAAGTGGGCAATGGTCGAGTTGAGTAGGAGTACAGCGGGCGAGCGAGGCAGGGCAGCGGCACACAGCGGGCGACGGGCGGACTGGCCGGGAGCGATGTATGCCAGCAGGGAAAGTCGGGCGGGGGGCTGATAGGGAGTGGGAATGAACCCGGGCGGGAAGGCGCGCCGGGTGCATGCGGAGATGGCGGGGAGGAGATGGCGAAGCCCGCCCGTCCCTTGATGAAATCGATCGGGGGAAGAGCCTACCCGGGGGTTTGTAGGCCGGGCGGGCACACTCACGATGTCAGTTTGGGGAAAATGTTAGTAGAAAGGGGGTTAGAGAAGAATGGGCATGCGCGGGCGATGGCGGGCTGCAAACTCGAGCGCGGCAGGGAAGCGAAAGCGCAACCGTTTGGGGGTGGTCTCGGGTAGGGAAGGAGTTGATCCGGGGGTTTTGCAGTTGGGCGACCCCGGATCTGAAGTTAGATTAGCGAAAGGGTTAGTGAGGTAGATGGTTAGCGAGAAAAGTTGTGCGTGAGGCTATGGCAGAAGTGAAGAAGGACGGAGGGAGAAAGTCTTGATTTCGTTCGTTCCTTGATGAAAATGAACGAACGAAGATGTTATCCCGTGGTTTTGGCCCCGGGCGAGTTGAATGGTATGGTTAGAGAGGAATAAAAGTTAGTAGGGTTGGAGTTAGGGGTGAGAGTGAATCTGGACGGGAGAAGGTGCCAGATGCACGCGCGACTGGGTTGAAGGTGGCTGAGAAGGGGGCCGGGCGAGCGCAGTCGGGTGAGCGTAACTCGCTCGATCCTCACCAGGATCCAGCAAGGGAAGAGCCGTTTTGGGGGTTCTGATGGAGGGCGAGCATAGTGGTATAGTTAGTTTTAATGATAAATTAGTAGAATAGCGGGTTAGTGAGAAACAAGCAGCGCGGGGAGACGGCGGAGGCAACTGTGGTAGGAGTAACAACTATGCAACTCGTCCGTCTCTCAACAAAAACGGGCGAGTGGAGATCCGTTTCGGGGGTTATCTTGATAACGACCAGCTCCGCTTTTGTAGCTCGGTTACTCCAGACATGTGTCGGTCGGGCCAGGTCGATTGGTCGAGGGCGCTAGTAGAGGAGAACCGGAGTCGGAACTTACCTGTTGGCAGGGAGACCGGTCGCAGAGCGCCTGTTCGGGCGGACATTTTACTCCGTACTGCTTTACCTTCATTGAGAAGAAGTGTGAGGCGGGCCATACTTTGGGTGCTTACTGGGTTGATCCACCATACGCCACTGAGTGAAGGAATAACGGGTAGACTGTAAAGGAAGGTGTGTTGCCTGTTGGTCTGTGTGTTACCGATCCCTGACGGTCTGCGAGCAAAAGGGACCAGCGGGTTTGTAGAACTTCCGCTGGTTAGAATGTAGTTCTTAGACAGCCAGCGGACGGAAGTAATGAGAGGCCAGCCGCAGGGGTAGAGACTTACTTGCTGATCGATGTGGCAGCGTCCATGAGTTAGTGGCATGTGTGAATGTGATTGCTGAGAAGCTGTTGCCAGTACTCGTGCTTGCGGATTACATGCGAACTGTGGCTGCTGTAGACTGTACATCGTTGCTGATTGACCACTGCCGGCCGCCGTTGTTGTGTCCGAAGGACTGTTGCGGGAACTTGTGTGGCCGCAGGCGGGCTGAAGAGAGGGGTTGAAGCTCAGGGAGGTGATCAGACCAGGAGGGTGGGGAGGGTTAGTGCAGCAGTCGAGGGGTCATCGAAAGTTTGACTTCAACGGGTTGACCCAGAAAAGTCGACCAAGTTGTTACTTTTTGGCCGCCATTGTGGGGCCCTCAGGCGAGTGAAGGCAACAAGGCCCTCTCCTGCGAGTCTAAGCGCACCCTTCTTGGATCTGAGAGTCTCAAACCCACCTCCATCTGCCCTTCTTACTCTAAGACTAGTCTGTTGGTTCTGAGAGGAAGGCGGCAGGCGGGATTGTAACCCGTAGGACCGCAGCAAGACTCTGTGGGGAGTCATCCCACCGATTGCGGGAGCTCTGACGGAACTCAGGAGGAGTTCTGGAGGCAGGGAACTGAAAGGTAATATTTGCTTTCCCTTATAAACCCAGTATACCCCCTACCTATACACTCTTCTACGTATTGGTTGAACGCGCTGTATGCAACACTTACTTTGACTTTTAGACTGACTTTGAGGACACAAATCAGACTAACTAAAGGAATGTATGCATAATGGCAGTTTCAGTTCCTTTGATTGCCTAAAGCAGATTGTCACAAGGGGTTGCATCAGGGGGAAGGTTGAGAGGAAGGCAGTCTTGCTTGCGATTGAACGGATCTTATAGGGTCAGGCATTGTTTCTAAGATGAATGGTCTGACTGTTGTGTTTTGTTCTGTTTTCTGAAGGGTCGGGCATTGTCTCCATGGTGAATGACCTGGTTGTTGTGTTTATTTAGTTGTGCCAGACATTGTTTCTAAGATGAATGGCCTGGCTACTTACTTTGAGGGGTATTAATTGCCTGAGTTTTGAGGGTCAGACATTGTTTCTAAGATGAATGGTCTGGCCGCTGTTTACTTGGGTGGTTTCTGAACAGTCTCTGGGTCAGACCCAGGGTACTCTGTTTTTTTTTGTGTGCTGAAAAAGGGGGGAGCTGAGCATTGTTTTAAAGATGAATGGTTCATCTCTCCTTGATTGTTTTCTTCCGAGGGAGGATTCAGGGCCAGAGGACTAGACATTGTTTCTAAGATGAATGGTCTAAGTCTGAGGCCTTAGGACCATAATGAAAACAAAGGAATAAGATTCTCTATAATGTTGTATGTATATATATGTACTTATATGCAAACAAAGCTAGTCAGGCATTGTTTCTAAGATGAATGGCCTGACTATAGCCTTATCACGAGCGAAGAGAGTATAATCGAGAGCTATAATTGAAGGTAACTTGGGCAGGCTGAGCATTGTTTCTAAGATGAATGGCTCAGCCCTACGCCCTCTTTTTGAAGACTAAGGTGCAGAAAGGTATATATAACTTGGCTATTTAAACAGTTCAGGGCGACTAAGCATGGTTTCTAAGATGAATGGCTTAGTCACATGCCCAATGACGAGAAAAATAGTTGTGCAACCTGTTCGTGTATAACTAAGGCAGAGGGTTGACATTGTTTCTAAGATGAATGGACAGTCCCAATGCCCTATGTAAGCAGGGTATAAAGGGTTAAAACACTGAAAGACTATGAACTAATGTTTGCTAAGGCAACCTGGGGTTGGTGAGATTACTTACCTTTGTGGTTTGGCTTGCATGTGGCTGAGTGGCATCACTACCTAGTCTGAGTTTGAGTTGATAGGTAGTTGATGTAGTGGCTCGCCACGTGCTGGAACTATAAGAGTTAGATTCAATTTTTGCATTTTCTAAGATAGTTTTTTCTACTTAGTTCGATTTCTGCATCTATCTGAGATCTTTTCTTATACTTGGGCTTGTATAAATCTTGGTAAGCCACCTTTCCTACGGGAAGCGCTGCCGATATTTCTGCAAATTCAAGGAGTTAGATAAATCTCTGACTTTTCAAAAGTTCAACTGTTTGAATTATATATGGCTTAGTAAAAATCTGGGAAGTCTCCCTTTCTAAAGGGGGTGCTGCCCAAATTTTTACTAATTCAGGGAGTTAGACAAAAGTTGGACTTTAGAAAGTCAAAGACTATTTCTGTTTTTATATTCAGGCTTATATAAATTATGGAAAGGCAGTTTTCCTACGGGAAGTGCTGCCGAAATTACCTTATTTTAGAGGAGTTAGATTATATTATGACAGGTGACGATTCTGGCGATCCACCCTGAGTAGGGGAGATTCTGTCATTAGTCTACCACTGCTTTGGGCACTGGCTTAGAGGTAGGCTTAGACTTAGTTGGCAGACAACTTTGAGTGAGGATGTGCTATGAAGGTTCATCCCCCATATGCTGATGATTTAGCTTGGGCATTGACCTGTCTTATGGTACAGGTCTTTCTTGGACACTCGATTCAGGACTTGGACTACTCTCAGCTTGATCCTACGAGGATCATCTTCTGTTATCACTTATAACAGGTCGGTTGCCGATTCGTCGGTTTACGATTCAACTCCAATCCACTCCTGCCACTCAACCTAAAGGCTTTAGCCTTGTGACTTGAACTGTTTTGTTGTGTTTTCACCCGGACTTTATTGAATGACCATCCAACAAAAGTACTGAGTATTTATTTAAGAGTTGCACGAGTGAGGCTTGTATGGCTGAAGCGAGGGGTATGATTGCGAGGAATGGTTGAAGTTGACCAACTTCTGGTTGAATCTTTGATGTGATTGCAGGTATGGTTGTGGTTGGGGCTCTCGACGTTATTGCCTGCGATTTCATACATATATGGCTGAGAGGGGCCTCACTGTGACTGTGAGAAGTGATCGTCCTATATAATCAACCCTTACGTATTTATAAGTGCCCTGAGTATTTGAGAGGCCTACTGTGAGTGTGAATAAGGGTTAACTGGGTTATGTCTCGAGAGGGAAGGGAGACCCTTTTTACCCTTGCTTTTTAGAGTTCGTATGGTTGAACGTTGTAGTCCGTGGCAACCGTCAAAGTCAAACCCCTTGACTTTCGCCCAGGCCCGGAGTGGGACTCATCTCAAGGGCAGTAAGAAGCGACTGCCACCACAGGTATGGACCTGTGTACCACCCATTGCGCACAGGGTGCAGAAGAGGGTGTGTGGTCTTCAACCGCGTATGGCGGTTGTCCAGTGTCGAGAGATTAACCCTCAAGGCGTGTGTCAGCCGACACTTGAGTGTCGAATGCAACCCTCGAGATTAACGAGGACCGCGTGAGTATGGGTACTACATAGTACGCCATCACTGCGACCGCTTGCATACGCTTGCATTGCGAGTCGATATGAGTAGACCCTGCGTCCTCACAGCTTTATACTAAGTCTCGCGCGCGACGCCTATCCGACTTCCGCAGTGGAAAAGTTATGGGATGGTTACTAAGGGGCTAGGAGCGTTCTCGCGTTGTTTGTGTTGTGTCGTGTTGTAGGTGTGTGTGTGTGTGTGTTTTATTTTTGTGTTCGTAAAGTGGTGTGCGCGTGGTGTGTGGGATGCGTCCTAGKCAACCGACGACGAGCCGCGCTTGGGACTTCAGCCCCCCAAGATGTCGGTTCGCGTGCGGGTTCGATAGGCGTATTACCGCGCGTACCCCCTATGCTACAGCGAACGAGAAACGCCCTCGGCTGATCCACCTCTGCGATTGCAACCGAGTAGCTTTCGTACTGTGGACTGGTAGCTCGGCGGGGATACGCCCACCGAAGGGAGGTGACAGCTCCCGTAAGGTGGAGGTAAGTTGTGCCTCGCGTAGGCCCTATCCTGTCGTAGGGGCTCGCGAGAGGTATGGCTGGCGCACTCGGCCGGAGCGGCCTAAGGAAGCTCCATGTGTGTGTTCGTGACGTGGTTGGTCCAATTCCTGCATGACGCGGCCGAGAGGGTCCCGCGCTGCCACGTGCGGTGCCGGACCGATGCGCCCGACGACGCGCAAGGTGATGCTCTGCACTTTGACGGCCATGTCTTTCGCCGCCTTCAACTGCGACTCGTCGTCCATTTTGTGTTGTGGGATGCTTGAGTGAAGGAGGGTTATACTTCGACGGATGCCGGGAGTGGGGACTCCCCTAGCGATGACCAGCAAATACAACAATGCTTCATAATGTCGTCCACCCACAACTTCTTCTCAACTTTGATCCCATCACGTGCATTGCCCTTCCGCTCCCTGTTAACCAACAGCTCGTCGTCATCGCCATCCCATGACTCTTCACGGCCGCTGCACCCACCACCGTTCTTGAAGATCCTGCCACTGTACTGCCATGCGTGTCCACCAAGTTTTGTCGCTTTGGACCCCGGACGCTTCCTTGCACCACCACATTTGCAACCCCTCCCGCCTCCGGAACTGTTTGGCCATGTGGTGTGGCTGGGGGTGATTGGATCCGTTCAGAATCTTTCCCCTCAGGCAGCGCAGTCACACGTGTCCTCTCATTGCTCCCCCCAACGAGCGACGTCTGCGGAGCTACCTTCACTTGGACCTCCCTCGCCACATGACCAGCGTCGACATCGATGACGATATCAGCCTTGCGAACCCCCTCCCCGCCACGGGGTTGGGAAGCAGTCTGAGGTCGCGACTGATTAATTTGCAGCGCCCCTTGTGCATGCACTGACGCTTGTCTGACGGCTTCCACTTCATTGCCTGACACGACGTCCTCGTCATCACCGGCGCCATCGAAATCCGTAACCCATTCGTCATCCCTCGTACCACTTCCCTTCGAAGGACCCTCTGCAAAAACCTTCTTGTATTTCACCACATGACATCCTTTCTTGATGGGCATAGGTGTGTCCCCTTGATAGTTGTCCTTCTTCTTGCCGCGATTACCACCACGTTATGAAATGGTGAAGACGGCGACAACGATAACGGAAAGCGACAAGGGTGTCAACTGTGCGATGGGTTGTCCTGTGTAGGTGACGTGCAATGATCGTGCTGATAAAGGCCCGTATCACGCAGCCGACCAATCGACAATACTAATCCGCGGGCGCACTAAACGTAGTGATGAAAAACGCGGGGATGTGCATGAAATGTGGTTGTTCGATTCACGACGCTAGCAGTAGATGGCTGCCTTCGACGATGCACGCACTTTAGAGGTGTTGTCGTAGAAGACGCGAACGGTAGATGACTGCCTTCGACGATGCGTGGTACACGGCTGCCTTCAACGTCCCGGTTCGACTGCAGAGGTGTCGCCGTAGAAGACGAGTCACATGAGATGCGTGGACTTCAGAGGTGTTGCCGTAGAAGACGCAGGCTTAAGAGGTGTCGTCGTGGAAAACCCGGACAATAGACGGGCGGCAGCATGATGCGCGAACTTGTTCATGCAGATGGCAAAAGATACGCTTGTGGGCGATGGAGCGCGACTCGTTGCGAATGATTTGCGGACGCCAGTTTGTTGGCGGCGGCCAGGCAACACGACATGTGTGCACGGAGGGACGACGAATGACACAGCGACAATGTTGCACGGCGCCAACCTCAACGATGGTAGGCGAGTAAGCGTGGTGGACATTGATGTCTGGAGAGGGCGATGTGCACGTGACGGCAGACGAGGGGGAGGTCTATGCCCGCTAGAGTGGACGATCTCCGCGAGGCGCTGCATATAGCTCTGATGTGGGGCGGTGAGTGATTACGACACGTGTGAGCACCGCCCCTCCATTTCCTTGGGCGTACATCGACAGGTGATAGCGACACGTCTGCCGCGAGTGTTTTGCAGTAGGCCCTGGCCGTCCACCCACAAGTATGCACGGACATCGCAGACCCCGATTGTTGCCTAATCTACCATCGTCCACTTTCGAATCCGTTCGTTATTGTGGAAGACAAATGGACCCCGCGAGGTGGCCTCGCAAGTGGCATCGACGCCCAGCCCACCACACCCCGCACTGGCCGCACCCCGCGCATGTGCCAACAACAACAACCCAACCCACCGTGTCCCCACAAAAAGAGGGCATGTACCCGCACACACCCTCCACACCCACCCCAAAAACACTCACATACATAGAACAACCATCCAAGAGGTTTGGCCCCCCAACCAACCCCGCAGCAAGGCACCCCCCCTGCCGCCCTTTTTCCTCCATGTCTCCATCTCTCCCAGTGGCCCCATCGCCTTGGACCGTATGCTTGAGTGTGTGTGTGTGTGTGTGTGTGTGTGTGTGTGTGTGTGTGTGTGTGTGTGTGTGTGTGTAAAATCATAAAATAAACCATAGCAACCCGAATATACGAGAATCTCTTCAGAGCTCCACTCACTTGTAGATCATCCACTTCGTGTTGCTCGTGTATCATACTGACAGATGCCATACCAACGTAACATGTAAGCATTCACATATGTACAACAACCAAGAACTAGCGAGAGGGGTAGGAGGGAAGAGAGAGGAGGAGTGGGGAGCTCTTGATGGCGAAGCCATCAAAAGTTGGTGCAATGACCAACCAGGGAGGGGTGGCGCAGCCCCTGAAGCGCTTTTCCCTGCTTGCGCCCATACGGCTCATCAAAGGGTGATAGTCCTTTGACTTCTGGTGGGGGGTGAGAGAAGGGTAGGGAGAGCAAAGCATATGGGAGGACATCAATGTAGTTAGGAACTCACCATGTGCTCGTTGATGTCAGCATCAATGTTGTGCTCGTCCATGGCGGCCATGCTACTCGTCGTCGAGTAGGTAGCACGAACCCAGCTAGCAATCGCAGTATCACAGCAGGAAAATTTTGTATTTGTCGATCGTCGTCTCACCGACTGTTAATCGTAGTACCAAGAGAGTAGGTACGTGGTAACAATCTGAAGAGATAGTGGTTGAGGCCTTAGGGGTGTGTATAGTTATGGGGAGACGATCCCGTAGTATACAGCCAACGAAGGTGTGAAGTAGAAGGAAGAGGATAGTCGTACCAACAATCGGATCATCCTCATTGCTCGTGAGGATAGTGAGGATCCCATTGGAGTGTGGGTTTCATAAGTAGTGGTGAGAGAAGGGTAGTGGAGGGGTGGGTGGGTAGTGGGGGAGTGTTGGAGATAGGTAAACTTGAGGGTGGTGAGGGTTCCAGAATGTGCATGTGGGGGACGCAATCGGGGGGCAAGGAAGAGTGGGTAGTTTGCGTGGTGTAGCGGGGTTTTGTAATTGTACAGGAGCCATGGTGGTAATGGATGTACGGGCAATTGGATTGTAAGTTGTGGGTTGGGGGATGGTGAGGTCAGTACCAATGCGGGGGATGTTGCAAGTGACAAACAAGCTTCTGGGTGGGGGAGGGGGGTTGCACAGGGAAGTGACGGTTGGTGTTAGTGGGGATTGCAACGCATTTTGGTTGCATGTGGGTTCATGGATGGCAATCGTTTTTGGCGGGGATAAGTGGGGAGGGACTGGGCAGCTATGGCGGGCAGGGGGGGGTTGTTGGTATGAATGAGGGAGACGGAGGTGCACGAGGGTGGTGTTGCGTTGTTCTGTTTTTTTTTTTGTGCCGTTTTTTTTTGCCGGGTTGTTTTGTCTGAAGGGAATGTGTGTCACGAGACGTTTTTTATTTTATTTGTAGTATTTTTTGTTTCCATGTGAATTTTTTTTTTCGCGGGCGTCAGCAGTAGTGGGCTGGGGGCTATGGGGTTGGGTGTCACCCGGTAATAGAGTTGCGTTGTTGTTCCTATGGGGTTGCATTGATGGGGTGTCCGTGGCCAGGATTTGGGATCGGGTGTATGTGCCCTAGGGAGGGGGGGGGGTAGCTGCTTGTGCGCGCATGGCTGTGGTTGGTTGTGTTTTGTTGGTTTGCGCCACCTTTTTTCGGGAGGGATTTTGGGGGGTGGTGCCGTTTGGCGTGGTGGTGCATTTAGTTGTTGTCAGTTAGTGTGTAGGGATATATATATATATATATATATATATATATTATTATTATTAAAAAAAGTTGGTATAGTATTGGGGGGTATAGATAGGTTCATAATTTATTTAATCCTGTGTGATCGTTTTTGGGGTTTATATAAAAGTGGGAAAAAAAAGAAAAAAAACAAAAAAAAGGGAAGTTCGGGGAGAATCTTGGGTTTTATTGAGGGGGGAGGGGGGGTATTTGGATAGGTGAGTGTGTAGCAGTGGTTTACGGGATAGTTCTATTTTGGTGGAGGGGGGAAAGAGAGAGTGATGTGCGTGTAAGATCACTTGTTCAGGGGTTTTATAAATTGCGGTCTGGGGTTAAAGGGGGGTGAGTCTCTTGGGTTCGTGGGCGGGGTACTAGTGCCTTGTCTGGAGTTGGATGTGTGTATCTTGTGCTTATGCATTCGTTGATATTATTGTTCCTAGGTGTTCGCATATATATATATATATGCATATGTATGTGTTTGCTGCCTTGTTATAGTAGGTGTGTTTTGCATGCATGGGTGTGTGTGTGTGCGAGCGCTTGCTCGTGTGTGTGTGTGTGTGTGTGTGTGTGTGTGTGTGTGTGTGTGTGTGTGTGTGTGTGTGTGTGTGTGTGTGTGTGTGTGTGTGTAGGTGCGTTGTATATTCATGAGTATGTGTATGTGTGTGTGGGTGTGTTTGTGTTGGTACGTGTTGGTGCGGGTGATGGTGTACATGTGTGTTTGTCTGTGTGTGTGTGTGTGTGTGTGTGTGTGTGTGTGTGTGTGTGTGTGTGTCCCACCCTCATTCCCGCATTATGGAGGCAGTGAGGGGGAACAGGTACCGATAGTGGACTTGTTCCCCTCACGGGCTTGGGTCCTCCATCCACACCAGCCATAGGTGGTTGGCTACACACGTTACAGGGTTGATTTGGAGCCGGAGATTGTGCATAGTTTGTTTGACTGGGGTGCGGAATGGTTGRTATTGTGCATGGTTGGTAAGGACTTATTGGACTGTTTAAAAACTTTTATGTTTGGGGAAACCATTGTAAGTCATGGTTTGGATGGTGTTAATGATTTGCTGTGTGGCAATGTCGCTACCAGATTCAATAGTCATTATGGTGA